TTATAAATAAAGTTGGTGGTATCAGGGGTGAGTGGGCCTAAATCCCTGGTTAGATCTAAGGCTATATTTAAAAAGAAATCATTAAAATAATCAGCCTTCTGTTCGCTTCTAGTAATGATGTTTCCATTTCTATCTTGTATCGGCCCACATTTTTTGATCTTGCTTTTCTTCAGAATGCGGTTTGTAACCTTCCAAAAATCCCCTGGTGAGTTGGCATTTTCAAAACGGTTAAGCCAATATGCTGCCTCTGCCTTTCTTAGCATTGCCTTAACTTTGTTCCGTTGCTGTTTGTAGCGGCACCATAATTCATCATTTCCAGGATTAACATGAGCTTCTTTTAGGTATTTGTATCGCCGATTCATAGCCTTCCTAATTTCTGAATTCATCCAGGGAAGGGATCCATCTCTGATCTTCACAATTCTTTTCTTAATGTGGTTGTGGTTGATGAAAGATCAGGGAGACGACTGTTCTGAACAACAGTTACAGGACATTTTACATCTTAAAGTTAAACTGGTATTTGGAAGTCCGGAGGCTATTCTCAACAACTATCGCCACATTGTTGTTCTGCCTTTCTCGGCTTCGGTGGACTTCCTCGATGATTCGAAGCTTTCTCTTACTTCAAGAATCTTCCGAACTACGGTTTCGTTTTTGTCTGCGCAATTTTGGCACAAAATGTTTGTCAGAAGTGAACCTTCCCCACTGGATATCTCCTTTCCTGCGATCAATTCAAGATTCAAACAAGCTTTGGTCTTTTTTTGGCCACCCGATATCGTCAATTTTCGTTTAAAATCTTTGTACGTAATCACTTTAGTACAGGGTAACCAAATTTGCCCTTTCGACGCGGGAGAAACGCACACACGTTCGATTGTTTTGGTCGGAGTGGAACCGATACTTTCCGCCATTCAATTCAATCCAAATGTAATCTGAGAAACCAGTTGCAAGTCACGCCACTCCTCATTTTTGGCGGGAAACGCAAATGAAAACCCTTCAAGCGAGACAAGTCGACCTCTCGCGACTTCGTCGCTCGCTCGGCCGCTTCGCGGCCTAACATATTCTACCCTGATATTCATGAGGTCGACTTGTGGCAAGTCTATGTCTTAAGGGGTCTGCTAGTAGTTTGTATTCCATTGTTTCTTAGAAGTCTTGAGAGAGGTTCAGTTAGGCCTTTGATGTAAGGTAAAACTACGAAGCCAACGTGTAAGTCAGGAGGATCAGTCCATCCAAAGAACATTCCTACCAATTCTTCTGGAGATGGTGTGATTGCCGGGGGTGGTTTCTTCTTAATCCATGTCACTGATGCTCTGAAATGGAACAGCTACCCACTATCGGTCATATCTAACATCTTGAAGAAGAAACCAACCCCGGCAATCACACCATCTCCAGAAGAATTGGTAGGAATCTGAGAGAACAAAATTGATACAAAATTTAGCAGCAATTTACTATTCCACTTTCAACAGTAATATCTGGATTTTCCTTTCTAATGAATAACTGGCAAGTCACCATGTATGTACACAAATTAAAATTTTATTACTTATGCTTTGATTGGTTCATTCTCCAGGGATGCTTACCAAAGTTCTGTGTAACTTTCACATTTCGAACAGTCGCCTCCCCATTTTTAAACTTTGGACACGAGACTTTCACTCTTTCCACCCCATCTGCCTCTCGATGCTTTACATCCCTTTGGAGATTGAAGTTGAAATGTACTGCAGCCAACACATGTCTGTAGAAATTAAAATGAAAAAGTTGAAAACATTAAACTTTTTGGTAAACTCTGTGTTTAAGTCTTAAAAGACTCCTAAAAATGGCCCAGTTATTGGATCACTTGATGCATATATAGAGGATATTACACGGTGGCTCGAAGATATGAATTTTATGTTCTCGTGGCAAGAACAATATCTCNTAGGTGATTAAAAACTCCATGCACTGCTTGAAGGCAAGGAATTCTATTGCTGGGCTGCTTCCTGCTTGGTTCCTCTAGAGAAACATTTTCAGACAAACATATATTTTATGTAAGAATAAGAAGTTAAGTTACTAATACAAGTGATAAAATGGTACCATTGTAATTCCAACTAGGTTGTAATACTATAAACACCATTCACCGTATAATTTCTGACCAGATGATAATAAGGGAGTAGAAATATTAACTTTTCCAATCCAGGAAGGGTTCTTTCACATAACTATCCTGTTTCATTGACAGGAATAAACTTGTCATAAATGCCATAAATTAAACCACAATTTCTGCTCTTAAACCACAACAATGAATCTGTATATAATGATAATAATTTGTCACTATAAGGATAAAAGTGATAAAAAATTGAATTTTACCTGAACAAGAGAGAAATGGATTATCATTGGGACAGTACAGCACAAAATAGTGTATGCCACAAACTTTACGCTATGGCCCATGCTGTCGGGCCGACCGTCTCCTGCAATGGTAATACCAGTTCAGAGGGACTTCAACTTTTCAAGCATCTGACTCTGGTATTTTTGCCAATAAAGATAGATCAATGGGAAAAGCTTGGTCTGAAAAAAAAAAAAAAATACCAAACAGCATGATCAGCTAAGAGTAAATTATGCTGTATTGAATTCTTGTACTCTTTTGTAATGTGTAGTACTGTGCCCCTTTTACCAAAAGAAAAACCCAGTTTACCCCTTTAGCTACACTGTATCATGTAGTTATATTGCATTTTTCAGAACCTTTGAAAGATTAAAAAAGGATATTTAGAGGCATAACATGCTTAAACTTGTGCTGCATGAAGACCTATAGTCTGGGTGTATTTTGAACTTACCCTTTGATACTTAAAGTAAGTGTTAAGGGAGACACAACCAAGACCCATGAGCAAAAACATCTTGAAAACCTTGGTTGCAGAACCTCCGGCAAGGAGAATTGACAGTGATAGGAGAAAGTTGCCTGCTGGTATTTTCAGACCTGGCATCTGGGGCTGGCTGTATCAGATGTCCTCTTTATTGCATTTTGGATTGTTGCAGTATGTTCTCACAATCGCCTGTGTCCCATTTCCACTGGCCTCTACAGTAGGATTATCTGCCTTGCAGGTGCGGCACAAATTGAGTGAGGAAGACAAAACATGTATGCTTTGGCTCTGTTCTGATGTTGGTGTTCTTGACTGACAACCTATAATAGATTTAAAATTCATATACTGTAATAATTACGGAAACTATAACAATATATATAAAAAATGTTCTCCTAAGACCACCAGTCACATAGCCAAACCACAAGTGTCATACTGTAACCAAAACCAGATGATGATGATTATGATGATGATGATGATGATGATGACGATGATTATTACATCTTTTGCTGTTCATTTACAGAAAATGAACATTTATTTGTGTCCAAGTTTCTTTCATTATGATCATTAAACTTTCATCAACACCAATATGACCTTCATTTGCGCGTAAGGATCGTTCAAGAAAAACATTTACATATGCATTAACATTCNAAATTCCACCATTCAGACTAAGTCTCAAACAAATGCTTACCGAAATTATCAGTTTACATAGCGTCCGTGATCGTATTCATCATGCCAAAAGTTTGCCGTACTTCTTACATGGCGTTTAAGCTCAAAGTTGTTGCTGAAGCTGAGGCTGTTGAAAACAACTCAGAGATCATCCGAGATTACGGGATTAGCGAGTCGATGGTTCGTCGATGGAGAAGAGACCAGGCGAAGCTTTTCAACGGCGAGCTGAAGATGTCTGCGAAACGAACAACGCTGGACCGCTTCACTCCAAAGTAAAAACCACAAGTGTCATACCCATTACTGTACCCAAAAACACTTATTTCATGACATATCTGGACTGCCCCCTTCCAGTGTCATACCATGTCATATTAAACTACCAGTACTTACTACCATCATTATTATCATGACGATGATGATGATGATGATGATGATGATTTAAATATAACACCTATAACATTTATTTATAACATTTATAACAAAACATTACCGATTAAATTTTTCCCCACCATGCTCATCTGTTTCTGTTTCTACTTCTGCCTCGGTTTCAAAGACAGAGCCATCCTCAACTTCTTCCTCTTCTTCCTCAGATGCTTCACCCTCTTCTTCCTGTGCACCATCTCCTTCACCTGTGTAACCTCCGTCTGCACCATCATCATCATCCTATTCTCCAACATTCTTTTCTCTATCTGCCTCAACTTGAGGGGATTCTTGATCATTTCCTATCCGCAAGCGCGTCGAATAGGCCGGTTTTGCATCTAGTTTGGTTTTACGAGCTTTATGACGCTAAAATCTCCAAAGAAAAGTGAAAAATTATCCCCGCAAAGGTCATTGGTTCACAAATCACGCGAAAGTAAATGCATATTAATTTAACTGATCACGAAAAAATCGAAAACTAGTTTCCCAAGGACTTACGATTCATGGAAAAATAAATCCTCATTCACGCTCCACGCAAAGCAAAAATGCCCATTCACGCGTCACGAAAAAAGTATAGGGGACGCTCGTAATTGTGTCTTTGGCTTTTTTTAACGTTATGGGTCGTATTATAACCATCACTGTTCTACTTTTTGTATTTCTATTTGATAAAATGAAAACTGGACCATGCCTGGCGGGTACAGGTCACCGGTCATTGTTTTACCAATACTGGAACAACCTTAAACCTTTACTAATACTAGCCTTAAGCCTAAACATTGTCTTAGTGTTGTACTTAAGGCCTAAGGTTAGCATTAGGAAGAGGTTAAGGTTGTTCCAGTATTAATAAAACAATGACCCATGACCTGTGTTTTAGACCGGGGGGACCATGCCCAACGTTGTTTTCGGGTGAACCTATGTATTTGTTTGTCAAGGTGAGCATTGTTCAATAGGAATCGTGCTTGCTCTTGTTTGTATACAAGAGAAATAACTGTGTTAGATTAAAAAAGATAAAGCTTTAAAGATTTCCTGTAGTACGTGATACATTCTTGTTTCTTCAATGTTGAGGTCCCAATCTTGAGTGTATTTTTAAATTTAGCCTGCAGAGCAGGCGAGATTTTTTCGAGCGAGCGTTCACATCGTAAAAAGTTTAGCCGCCATCTTGAATTTTTCATGCAGTGGAAGCCTGGGGAGAGAAGGAAAGTTTTACCAAGGGGGTGAATGATAGGCAAGAGGAAGGATAGGGGAGGGGGAATATGGCGGTCTAAAAAGGCGGTCGCAAGGTTGTAACGCCAACTCGCCCCAATAAGACGCCTGCACTGCAGGCTACTTCCCAATGTGCAAATTTCCAAGCTACAGCGTGTCAAAAATGCAGCCTTTATCTACTTATTATGAACATACCCAAGTACTCGCACATAATGCCAGCTCTCTAGCAACTTCACTGGCTACCCATTGCTTATCAAATTAAGATTACGATTCTTAAACTTACCTTAAAATCAATTTATGGACTAGCATCATCTCATCTTAGTGACTTCATAAAAGTCAAGCAAAAGAGCTCATGCTTGTTACACTCTAATAATAGCCTACTATTAGAAGTTTCACAGGAGACAATGCACCCAACACTTGGCAGCAGGTCTTTTACTATTGCTGCACCGGCCCAATGGAACAGCCTCCTGGCTGACCTGTGTGTTGTCACATCACTTCAAGTGTTTTTTAAAAGCAAACTTAAGACATTTTTGTTTAGGTCAGCATTTTAATGTATTTTTGGTGTATTTCTTTTTTATTTCCCATTTATAAATAACTTTACCAATATATATTTGTCTTAGTTAGTCTTCGATGAATTTTTTGTAAAGTGGTATTGATCAGTGTATGTAAATAATGCTAAAAAAATTATCAAATTAATGCTGTTATGTTAAAACAGCATAATAGTCGTTAAAGAAAATATCCTTAATATTTCACCAAGTATCATATTTTAGATTTTTGGACACTCTCATATTTTGCTACTCTT